AGAATTCCCTCCTCTGCTGTCGATTCCCTGGCGACCATTCAAGTCCAGGCTCAAGACTTTCCTTTTTTCTCTGTCCATGACCGACTGCCTCTCCATAAAAATATTCCCTTTGTTCTGCACCTGTCCTGACGTCCTTAGACAAGGCATGAATTCAAATTTGTATTGCAATTTATACATTTAAATGCGTGATGTTTTGCGTTTAATAGAGGTGCGGTTTGGTGGTCTTAAATAGAGCAAAGCACTTCACAGAGGAATCACAAATATCGTTCCTGTCATTCGATTTTTCTCAAACAAATATAGACGTAAGAACTATAATAAAATACATCTTCACTTATCTGTGATGATGTTACACTTGACTATCACACTCAAGTATTTTACAAGTAAGATTTTTATTTTATTTTATCTAGAAAATATTTAATTTGTATTTAAATACTGCCTGGTATATTTATACTGTACACACTCATATGTATTGTATGGTTAGACAACTGAATGTGCTCTATTAGGCTTGCAGTTAAAGGTATGTTTTTTTTCAGCATATGTTTGTAGAAAACAGTTGAATGAGACCAGTGGAGTCATTTCATCACCGAACTACCCAAATGTCTATGAAAACTATGAAGACTGTGCTTGGCTGATCCACTCTCCAGAAAACAAACAAATCAGGCTCTCATTTACAGACTTCAGGTAAGGTGTTGTTGGCACACAACATTTGTCATTTACTTTACACGGGTAATTAACTTACATTTAAACACATCCCCTGTATGTTATGTGTCGTCATAATCCAGTGCTAATTCCAACCATGTTTGAGTTGTGACCTTATTGTGGCTAAAGAGGCATATTTCAGCAACTGCAGAAGTAGTTCTGTGATGATATCTTCCGGGCTGTTCTTTGACGCAAGAGTCGTGTTATATTCACTGTGAGATGTCCATCGGCAATGTGTTCACTTGATGATACGACACTGATTATACAACTGGAACACAATTGGTAGGAAATAATAACAATCATTATTTATAGTGGCTTTCATGCCGCAAGCTCCAAGGCACATGACACATTCTAATCTAATGTACGTATATGTATAGAGCACTTTCACTCAATGTGCTTGACATAGCTTACAAAACGATGACAGAAAGAAATGAAGTACAGGGACTCCTCTATTTACAAACATTCGACTTAGGAACTACAGAGAAACTAACAAATCTGTCCGTATGTCCAGTTACCTATTTGGACCGAGAGTCGTAAGTTCAACCACTGCGCAATAGATACCGGTGTTGGCATCTACATCTGCAGAACATCAAGAACCAGTGTCGTCTACATCTACAGGAGAATATTCAACTTTTAAGGCCATTCCCTGTGTTTAGTGTACATGCCGTACAACATGTTTTGAATCGACAGACGTAAAGTTGGACTTACGAACAAATAGATTTACGAATAGACCTCTGGAACCTAACTCTTTTGTAAGTAGAGGAGTCCCTCTAGTTGGCAGGGGCGTGCTACAAGGATTGAGGAATGAGTGATAGCGATAGAGGGGTACTTCGGGTTTACGGAAGGGTATGGAAGGGACGGGAAGGGAATGGACAACAGAGAAGCGGTGAGGCTTTAAGAGAGGAATGGAAGGATGTTACGGAGGGGGACTCCTTAATGTACAGAGGCAGTGTTGAGTCTATGGGCAGTGTCAAGTCCATGGGCAGTGTCAAGTCCATGGGCAGTGTCGAGTCTACGGGCAGTATCGAATCTTTGGTGCATTGTCGAATCTTTGGTGCAGTGTCGAGTCTATGGTACAGTGTCGAGTCTACAGGGAGTGTCGAATCTATGGGCAGTGTCGAGTCTACGGGCAGCGTTGAGTGTATGGGCGTGCTGAGTCTTTGGTGCAGTGTTGAGTGTATGGGCAGTACTGCTCAATGTACAGGGGTAGTTTATTCCAGTGGAGGGGTGCAAGGAGGTTAGAAGGACCGAAGACGGGAATGGGGCACAGGGAGAAGGATGAACAGAAAGAGACAGAGAGCAGATTTGGAATGAAGAGGATGAGAGGGGACGCAGAAGGAGATGAGAAAGGCGAGATGAGGTTGAGCAAGCCAATGGAGACATGTAATGACTTAGCGTGAGTTATTTGAAAAGAGAGTGGTGTAGTGGACGTGAAGCCAGCGGAGTTGGAGTAGGAGAGGCCAAGTGCTGAGAATTAAAGGGAAGTGAAAATAACTTAATGCAGCAGCATTTTCAATTTGTTGGAGGGGAGTGAGGGCAGAGGCAGGGAGACCCAAGAAGCAGAGAACTGCAGGAGTCCCGATGGTTGAAGATCAGAGGAGGAACCAGGAGTTTGGCGGCAGGTTGAGAGGGCCGATTGTCCTGTTGTTGAACAGAAGAAAGCGGTAGATTGCTAAGTAGTAGCGGAGATGTGGGTAGAGAAAGTGATGGAAGGAGACAGAGGTGACACTAAGGTGGAGGACAGAGGAAGCAGGAGTGTGAGTGAGAGGAGGGAAGGAGATTGGTTTGGATAAGAGGGGAAGCACGAGAGGCTGGAAAGAAAATTATTGATGAGTTGGATTGAGAGAGGGTAAATGCAAAACATTCGTATGACATTAAGAACAATATGTAAGAGGGAAATATAATTAAAAAGCAAAATAATCTTAAGATGCCAGAATAAACAAATCTAAAAGAAAATTACAGTCAGAGAGCTTACTCTGGGCTGCATATTAGCTTTTTGTTTTCGGTCCTCTTCAGCTGTTTTGATCTTTTAAACTAATTGCAAACTCTGATTAGCCCGGTTGGCTATGTACGGTGCAAAAGAAAGTTCAACACATACACCACATGCCACTATATCTGTTTTAAGTTAATATTTGTTCTTTGTCCTTCGATCCACCCATGAATAGCGATCCACATATGAGCAAACCTTAATAATTGACTACTGTATACAGCATCCAAAAGAGGTTTTTGGGTTAGTTTGCGTAAAATATAATGGTGTCTTTAAACCTGGGACCGCCCCGACACAGTCAATTATTAAGGTTTGTCACGTAAACAAAACATGCCAGTTCCTTACTAGCACAGCACAATTCGAGTACAACTTTTGCCAGTAATTACAACTAGTATCATCAGGCGACAGCCAGATTTGTGACACATTTATATTAATGACACATTTACTTTTACACGATCTAACCCACAAGACCTATTATGGATAATATTGGTCGCGAAAAGCCTACATTTAAAGCAGTATACAAGCATAATTATTACTAATAACACGAATGTTAACTTAACATGTTTCTTTCCCAGAACTGAACAAAATTATGACTATGTGACGGTGTACGATGGACCTTCAAGAGATTACCCCCAATTGGGTAGATTTACTGGCTTCACTATGCCCCAAGCCCTGACTTCAACTGGAAGCGACTTGTACGTCACATTCACGTCTGACGGCAGCGTCGTATTCACAGGGTTCAGTGCATATTATGAGAGTAAGTGCAACTTCAGTGTTTCAGTGGCCGTACGTCCTCGTGTCGTTTACCTGTTTAACATTTGTACACCTACACAACTGGTCACCGAGGACGTTGATTTGAGACGTGTAAGTGAATCAATGGGTTTTTGAGAATTGAGAGAAAAGTGCTATGAATGCAGTGAGATAAGTGAAGATAGATAGCCAGTAGAGATAACGGAGTAGACGTGGACAAAGGAACGAGATGTAGTGAAATGAAATAAAAACAATTAGATATATTTAAGATGATAGAAGAGAGACAAGCTTTAGCAAAGTATTAAGATTTGCAAAATACACAGATAAGAGATATCGATGTCACCTACTACCCTTTTGTGACCCCTAAGTACCCTCTATCACGGTCACTCAATACTCAACCCTAGCATGCCCCTGCCATCTGAATAATTATATTTTGTCACCATTTTCAAACTATGTTAAGCACCTTGAGTGAGGGCTCCCAATCAATATAAAATAAGACAGGTCGAGTAAGATGAGAGCTTATATTTACGTTTTAGAAGACGTGTAAAAGAAATAGATCGCATCCTTTCAGAAGGATGCTATGAAAGACATGGGAGAGAGACATAGAGTAGTCAGTTCTCCTAAAACGCGCGTGTTTTCTTAACGCGAATTGGGTATAACGCGATTGAGTGAACATAAATGCGTCGTGCGAGTAGGAATAAGCGGTCGTACGGCTGCCTCGATGTAGCATCACACAAGATGGGATGCTGCTGGATGCTTTTAGATGCTACCCACGCGCCTTAGTCTTTATTCAGCCTGCATACACATCTCACGTGGTATCGCAAACTGTGCTTAACTCCATAACGTGGTGTTCTTCAGGAACGCAACTACTAGAGCGTTCTAGAACAGACTGTATAAATCATTATGAATGCATATCGCTCGTAAATTTAAGTTGGTAAAATAACTGCCATTGCGAACTGCCCGGGTATATAAAAAAAAACGCCTGGTCATTAAAAGTGCCCACCACATGGCTTAGGAGTTAGAGCGCTGAGCTGACACTGATGAGATCCTCGGTGGGAATCCAGGCAGCCGGCCATGATGGAGCCGCGTTCCCAGGTGTAGTGAGTTGGTGGTCTCAGCCCAGTCGCCAATGACCAAACAAAAACCATCACATTAAATTTGACTTCTCATCTTCGGGTTTGGCTTTGAGAATTTTAAATTAGCAGGGCAGGTGGGAAAATACTTCCCCCCCACCCCTATAGTTTGGAAAATTAATGTGTGTCGCAGATGTAGTTCTTTGATAGTTGCTTTTGCAGACTGTTTTTGAATATTGAGGACTTTAAGAATGGATTCTTCATCTCTAGAAGGTAACGCTGATCGCACAATCAGGATATAATTGGGGGAAAAATAATATAATGAAAATATCTATTGTATTCATGTACGTACCGTAGTCCATACTGTCATTATATAGGCAGTCAAGTTCAGTATATACTGAACATTTAACAAAGATGTATTGTACATCGATGTTTGCATTCAAGGACTGATGTCTCAAAGTCATCTCTGTGTACTGTAATCCTTTTGACAGTCATTGAGTTTGCAGGGTGACTGGCAGAATGAACAGCTTTTATGACCTGGGCTACGCAACAAATATGTTCTGCACTGTGGACATTACAGTTCCCAATGGCTCTTTTGTCAAGCTGCAATTTAACTATTTCAAGTGAGTAACACACAATTTGACTATCATATATTGATATTAATAATATATATTTTAAAGGCCTGATTCCTGTAGAGTTACATTCCGCACATTCGCGAAATTGTAGCGGTCTACAAGTTGCACAATTATTTCTGCCCGATTCACCGTGACAGTTTTATTTTGGCTCGATTCCCACCATTCAGAATGGGTGAAGCCCTATCCTACGAACAACAGCAAAAAACACTGCACACTCCATTAACATCCAGGGGAGTTTGAAGCAGAATGGAGGTGCGTGCGTTATCAGCAGCACGCTCGTTCCCTCGGTGGACACACTGACCAATCGAGCTCCATCACATGGGTCGGCTGGGTCTAGTGTTACATATTTTTGGAGTATGCGTGTTCTCCCCATGCTCGCGTGGGAATTTTCTCCGGGTCTCCCGGTTTTTCCCTCCACATTTAGAAACATGGATTGAGAGGATAAAACTATAAACAATGTTTTATTTTTACCAGGTAACACCCACGAAACTATATAGCTCTCTTTCAGAAGTGACCGGGTCACAAATTATAGCTCAACGAAATGGCTTATGTGGAAATTGAGAGCAGCCAAATACTCTGAACACGTTGAATCCAAAATGTGGAGGGAAAAACTGGAGGACCCAGAGAAAAATCCACACGACCACGGCGAGAACATGCAAACTCGAGATATGCAGGTGTGAGGGTCGGGATCGAACCCACGTCCCCCTGAATACCAGGCGAGGGAGTTAAAGGAAGTTAACATCTCGCCACCGTGATGCCCCAGTATTTGGCTGCTATGAATTTCCACATCACAAGCCACTTCTTTGAGCTTTAATGTGTGGCCAGGTCGTTTCTTAAAAAGAGTGTTATAGCTTGGTGGGCTTTACTTGGTAAAATACATTTTATTTTAGTTTAATGTGGGGAGTGATGGCACAGTGCTTCGTGCATCGCACTCTGAACCCTGCGACGTATTCATGATTCCTGGCGACAGCACAGGTGAGTGTGCTGAGATGGCCAGGAGATGGTAGAGAAATGGGTTCTTGAATCTGTGTGGACATTTGAGTGTAATTTGCTCAAAGTGTTGCCTGTGGCTACTGGGGCACCACAGTGGCGAGATGTGAACTACCTCACCTGGTATACAGAAGCACATTGGGTTCCATCTCAACCCTGATGCCTGCTGTATATTTGGAGTTGCACGTTCTCCCTGTGGTCGCGTGGATTTTTCTCCACATCCTCCAGTTTTTTTCCTGCACATTTAGAAACATGCGTTAGAGGATTTGCCTGCTATAAAATTTCCACATAAGTCACTTTATTGGGCTATAATGTATGGCCAGGTTGCTCAGCAGGTCTTACGTGGTAAAACATTTTTTTAAATAGTTTATTCCCGCATGTGAAACAAGCTTCAAAACGAGTCTTAGAAGTGTGGCTTTATCAGGAACATTCCCGTTCTGCATTTCATCATGTTCCTCATCGTCTTCATCAGCGCGAAAGCAAAATTAGCATCAGGAACAAGCAATATAGTAATTATTATCATCATCATATGCAGCAGTAGCACCCTTTAATCATCATCAGTACCCATTTATCATCAGAATCTATGATTATGTCATAATTTTCCACCATCACCGTAAAAATTATGTTCACGTTCGATCATAATTTACATTGTCTGCCATAGATTGGCGCTAGCAGTAGACACAAGTGAATTTCAACCACGGCCTAAATTCCACCCACAGCGTTGAACATTCCCCTCCCACCGCTCGTTTGAGCAAGGAACCACCACATCACTTTACACACACCCCTCGAAATCACCCCAAAGAAAATTACAAACATCCCCCCTAATAGCCTGAACAGACTGTTGGGACAAGTGCTGTTAGTGAGCACCTATGAAGGCCAGCACAGCACAAGGGGGTGGGTGGCCAACACCACACCTCGGCCGCCTTTGTCTCCCCAGTGGCGATGTTTACAAATCGCACGCAGGTACTCATTTGAGGCTGAGTCGACGTAGGGGAGGCCCCAGGACCGGTTCAGCACGCTAACCACTACACTACTGATCCCCACACACACGGATGGGGAGTACTCCCACGTTGTGTCGAAACTTTTGTACAGGCCCAAAGTTGACAGGCACTCGACATTTTCTATTTATTATTAATCGTTGTCCTGACCAAGACAAAAACCACGTGTTTACACGGTTTTGTCTCTTACCTCTCACCCCAATAAAGGCTACCGGGGAGCGAGCTGTGTGGCAAACAGCTCCTTGACCGTGTACGACGGCGGCGCCCAGCAGCGGGACATTCGCTGGGCAGATTCTGCGGCCAAGCTCTGCCGCCGGGCGTGCGCTCCCTCTCCAACAACGTGACGCTCGTGTTTCAAGTCTCGGACAACTTCATGCAAGGTATCCATGTCATGATACCAAAGATTGGATGTCAAAAAGGCCTGATAATTAGGTTTAAATGTTCAGTGCAAAGAGCAGTACAGCTGAGGCTGCCTAAGTGTGTCCGTGCATACGTATGCACGCTGATACAGCTATTTTAATACACACAATGGACAGGAAGGACAAGGTCAAAGGGCTCGCATAATGCACATGCATAATGTACGTTGACTCATACTTCTGCACAAGAGCGCAGAAGTATGGTCACCACATCCACGCTTCTATATAAGGAACGAAACAGGTGGACTTCTCCACAAATCTGGCTGTCGCCTGATGAAGCTAGTTGTAATTACTGGCGAAACGTCGTACTCAGATTGTAAATGTTGTGGCTTGGCTCTCCAACACACCGGTGTGCTGTACCTAGTGACGAATTGGCATCTTCTGTTTACGTGACAACTCTTACTAGTTAGCTGTGTCGGGTGGTGGCGGGTTTTAACGACACATTTATATATTTTGAGTCAAAATTTATTCATATACTTACACGATCTAACCCAAAAATCCTATTATGGATGATATTGGTCGCGAAAGCCTACGTGTTCATCTTATATATTTTGAGTCAAAATTTATTCATATACTTACACGATCTAACCCAAAAATCCTATTATGGATGATATTGGTCGCGAAAGCCTACGTGTTCATCTCGGTTAAAACTGTTTTAGGTTTTTGTACTGTACGCGATATTGTTGCTGCTTTCTAAGACATCTGATTCGGTTATAGCTGTTACGTTTTGTACTGTACACAATATTCACGTAAAATGTTTTCTTATTTCCTGTTTCAGAATATGGCTTCAGTTTGGAGTTCTACAAAGTTGACCCACTGCCAGCCAGCAGAGGTATGTATTTATCTCGGCCTCGCTCTGCGTTGTGTTGCAGAGCTAGCTGAGTAGATAACCTCGCGTTTCCAATAAACCCTCAGAACCAGGGTGAACATCTGACTTCCGAACGTCATTATTGGAAATTGAACGGTAGAGAGAGATTAAACTGGTAAGAAAACAGCACAGATACAGCATCTGTTAATACCCAGAAAAACCAACACAATGAATAAACACCACAGCATCATAACGTTGTCTTATGAATGAGACATTTTGTTATTTCAAGTTTGAATCTACTTACTCGATTACGGGTAAATCACAAGGCAAGCTGCAGGCTTTATTGTCAACTATGCCCCACATACATCGTAACAATTTAACAGCATTATAAAGGTTCTAGCGTTATAACAGCATTATAAAGGTCCTTCTAATATTATAACAACATTGCCAGTATCATAGGAACACAAACGAACTTACAGACAATGCTTCCCAAAGTCCCACAACGGTGGCTGCAGCTGTCTTCACGGAGCTGCGATGTGTGCCGCCATCTTGAATTATGTTTTTAATGGCCGACGCCCGCGTGGTTCAGCGGAAATCTAAAATCGCAACTTTCTGGTCACGTGACCACCCCCTATTTCAAAAACAGGAAATTCCTGTGTACACACGCCCCACATCTGCCGTGAGGCAAGACACTTGCCGTGAGGCAGAACAGTATTCAATCTTAATTTATCGGTTTATAAACTGACCATCATTTGGTTCATGTGCTTCTTGTAGAAATTCCGTGAGTTATACAAAAATGGGTCACTTATACATTTACGATAGAAATTGTAAGTTCGAAATGTTATTTCATGATCTACTATTGTTTTGTCAAAATATAGTGCCTAGCAGTAAAACTGTAAGCAAATCCTTGTGCATTAGTGACGTCTTCATCTAGCAATGGATAGACCATGGTTGATACATATTCAAATGATAGATGAATCAATGAGATGGCAAACAATGATTATGACGTTCTCTGGTCTGACACTGGTGAGACTAGGACCCTAAAGAAGGCTGTCTCTTGGTACGGCTATTTTAGTACAAGCAATGGACAGGAAGTACAAGATCAATGGCTCGCATAATGCTGCACGGCATAATATGTACGTTGATTCATTAATCCTCCCCCCCCCCCCCCACTTGGACAAGAAGAGCGCACAAGTGTTGTCATCACATCTACGCCTCTATATAAGGAACGAAACCGGTGGACTTCTCCACAAAATCTGGCTGCTGTCTGATGAAGCTAGTTGTAATTACTGGCAAAACTTTGTACTCAGATTGTAAATGTTATGGCTTGGCTCTCCAACACACCGGTGTGCTTGTACCTAGTGATGAATTCGGCATGCTTCTGTTTACGTGACAACTCTTACTAATTGGCTGGGTGGGTTGAACTAGACATATATATTTACGCGATCTAACCCAAAAAAAACCTGTATTGTAGTAAGTAATTGTGTATTGTCCTTTTTCAGAATGTGGCTGGATCCCCGTAGCAGAACGCAGACGTGAACAAGCCGGATCGTGGGAGGCTACGAAGCAAGGCTTGAGAATGGCCCTGGCAAGTAGAGCCTGCACAACTTCAACAGACTGACCTGTGGGGGCTTCCTCTTCAGTGACCGCTGGGTTGTGAGTGCTGCTCATTGCTTCCAGAGGTGAGCGTTTCTGTTGCTTCACATGTCTTGTGAACACTTTACTCCGAGCTATACATGCTCTGATACGTGCATTGTCCTTGTACTGTTTGCCTTTTGACGTTCTCTGGTCTGTCACTGGTGAAACTAGGTGCTAAAGAAGGCCGTCTCTCGGTGTAGGCCAAAGACAATGCATATATTATTATCAGAGCAAGTTTGTTTGCATGTACACCACAAATACGTGTGGTTAATACCAACGTGATTCCTTGCTAAAGATGTTAGAACATCTAACACCTGTTTTATTGCCAGAAAGGGTAAAACCTATTTATTTGTCATACTTTTAAAAGGATGCATTGTGTTAAATGTTACACACAGCAGACAATTTGATAATCACAACTTGCAGCCTTTTGTCAGACTGCTTTTGGGATGAAGGCCTTCGCACACCGTGTTGGTCATGGGGTGTTGTTCGACCATAACTCACCACACTGGTAACGATAATAACTGTATCTGTGGTTGGGAATCAAAACTTGGGGAATTAAAATGTGGGTCAACAGGTTCGTAAGTGCAGTGTGCTAACGAATGACCACCGCTCTCCCACTCACACATGATCACAACACCATTAGAAGATATTTTTGTAGAATTGTATTGCAGAAAGAGGCATGAATATAGTGGAGAGGGGATTAAGCATCTCTTTTTCACAGTCAGGTATGATTTTCGTAGTGCACTTGCATCGTAATGCGTGCCGGCGCCAATGTTCCAAAATTTGCTTACTTGTAAAAACTGACCAACACCAATTACTCAGTTGAGATTATACAGATGCAGCAGTCATCATCCCTACCGAAAGAACTTGGCAGGACCCTCCTGAAAAAGTTCCTGAGACTCAATGAGGCTTACCTTGGTAAAAAAAAAACATAATGCCCTGTGGTATTTTATGCTGACTGTGGTGTCTGTGTATTTACCCCCCTAGTAACAACCCAAACACCTGGACGGTATACCTGGGCCTGCACTCTCAGAACGATCTCAGCGCTTCAACTGTCGTGGCCAGAAGCGTCAACAGAATCCTCATCCACGAGCGCTACAACGGAAGCAGCCATGACTATGACATTGCTCTTATGGAGCTGTCAGAACTTGTTTCCTTCATCGATTACATACAGCCAGTTTGCCTCCCACCTCGCTTTCAGAAGTTTCCCTACCCAGGGAAATCATGCTTCATTTCTGGTTGGGGAAAACTTTCTGAAGGTGGTAAGTCCATAGGTGAAATATTCCAAACCTGGGAAAACACGTGGTTTCAGAAGATACTTTGACCACTAAATAGAGCATAGTTTGAGAGATTATTTAGTATCCATATCTCAGTGTCTATGGTGTAAGAACAAAGCAACCACAGTATTGTCATGTTTTGAGCCTCCACACGACCCGATTAACATTCTAATAAAATCGATCTTCTCATAGAAAGCAGTTCCCTTCTGTTTAAACTCAGGATTACAACCCTTGAGTTGTTTACGTTGGGTTAAATGTAGCACCTCTAATGTACAACATATACAAATTAAAAACAAAAATCCATTGCTATGCCCACGATGCAAGGCATGTATCGTGATCTTAATTTATGAATCGGTGCAATGTTATTTTCCGACGGCACAAGTTAAACATAATCGATAGTTGAACATTTATTTTATTTCGGGGGAATGTTTGTATAATGAAAAACAAATATAATATACACATCTCTTCTACTGAACAATTCCTTTGATTTAATGGAGGCCCAAATCTTTGTTAGGGAACATTTTTTTGTAAAAATCCATTGGAATAATGATGGCAGTCGGGTAGCAGAGCTCTCTGGTGCTCGAGGAATATCTGTAATAGGCATTAAGCTGATATACAGGTGATATGTTGCTAACATTTAAATGTACCACGGTCTAAGTTGATTAAATATAGTACTTCACTTTAAGATGTTTCTTGTTCGTGTTTTTGTTTGTTGTGGTTGCACCCGATTCAAGAGCCAAATGGCTCACAGGGCTATACCAAAATAAATAAATAACTGAAACTGAAACACGGTTTCCAACACGAATTCTTGTACTGAACAGGCTACACACCCGACCAGCTTCAGGAGGCTTCAGTAGAGATCTTCAAGACGTGCGTCACACCAGGGCCGCAGGCCTATAGCCCATCTCTAATCACCAACAGGATGCTGTGTGCAGGGTACCTCGAAGGAGGGGTGGACACCTGCCAGGTGAGCTGCATAACAACCAACAAGATGCAACTCTCTTGCCTATAAACCATCTGGAGCACATGACGACTATGGGCCCAATTATGTTCCACCAGGGGGAACTTGGAAAGCAAACTTCCCCAGTCAATTCACGAACACATTTTGGTGCCAATTTACTGGAAGGAGCGTGGGTGGGCCAACATCAACTGGACCTTCAACAAAAATGTCCTCATTCAGGATCCCAGTCCTATTGAACATTTCAAGCTGGCCTAAGCTGTCCTGCTCTTTGCACTGAACATTTAAACCTAATTATCAGGCCTTTTGGCATCCAATCTTTGGTATCATGACATGCCATTGCTTATCCTGAATAATTGTAATCATCGCTCCATCAGGCCTCCATGTTCGTCATTCAGCTTCTAACATTGGTGTCGTGTGTGTGTCTGTTGCAGGGAGACTCTGGGGGTCCATTGGTTTGCCAGGACTCAAACGGCCGCTGGTACCTCTCTGGAATCACCAGCTGGGGCTATGGCTGTGCACGGGCTTACCAGCCAGGTGTTTACAGCAGGGTCACCAAATTCTTGGACTGGATTCACCAGAACATGCAGTAGTCTCTTATACCGTCCTGCACCGACATAATACTGTAGATCATGGATATTATTGATGGGAACTGTAAATCAAAATAATTAATGCAGGCAATCAATGTAAAAAATAAACGCATTGTAAATTGTTAAAATGTTCATTTATATCGCTGAATACTATATTTTAACTGCACCAGAATGTAACAAGGTTTGCAAGTCAATAGATGAACAAAGGTTTTGGGTCAAATCAGACAACTCTGATAGTTGTTTACATGGTATTTTGGTTTTGCAACACCTGTAATGGGGCCTGGCAGAGCAAAAATGCATATGATGTAAAAACCACTGGACCAAGGTGGAAGGGTGATTGTTGGCATTGGCAGGAGATGAATACAGAACTTTCTATTTTTCAATGTTGCTTAATTCTTTCAACATTGACACAATGGACAATTGACAGACTGTCTAAAATATTTGGCCCAACCTGATTATACATGACAGCAAAATTAAGTGCTGTCTAAACTATCTACGATGCATTTATATTATTATATTTTGACCTGGGCCATCAACTCGCGTCTCTCGTACATCAATTGCAATGGCTGTTGAGCAGTAGGGGTTACTCAGAAGCGATCTATGGATCTTCTAGGGGACAACTGCAATGATCGGTGCATCCAGACTGAGATGATGCGTTCCACAGGGAGAATGTACTTCACGGAGGTTGTCTTAGAGTGTGTCCGTGGCAAGGTTGTCGGTGATTTACCTTCACCTACCCTGGTCAACACAGCCCATGAGTTTGTGAGTTTTGGTTTAACTAACTACATAAAAAAGAGACTGGTTTTGCACAAGGAGGCTGCAAAAAAAACAAGTTTGTGATGCAATTTCGCTTGTCACATGTAAAGTCACCTGAGACGCCTCTGTGTAAATGGCCTGATATAAAAACCATTATCATAGTGTGCGAAGAAAACTATGGGAAAATGTAATGAAGAAAATACTGTATGAAATATATACAAAAATTAACATTTTAACGTGTTTTTGTGGTATTCCAAAAATCATGGCATATTTGATTGGGTAAGATGGTTTACTAGTTGAGGTGGAAAATGGCAATGATCCTTCATAATGTGACAGACTGAAAGCTGCTCTTATGTAAAGTTAAACTTTCTTTTTAAAAACTGATTCACACGAAGCGACATGCTATTTGCCACAACAATCCGTAATATATCTAAAGCATTTGGAAATCGATGTATGCTTAATAGTAATCTGGTGAATAAAGATTTAAAATGTGTAAAGTATAACATGTGTGTGCCTGTGTGAACTTTTGGTCAAATCTTGAGATTAGGGATCTTATAAAAAGTTATACGACTTTCTATCAAAACCTCCGCCGCAGGGGCCGATCTTGACACTGCTGTCACAAGTCATCAACAAGTCCAATCAGTTCCAAATCGTCTTGTGCCACATCAGTCCATCTCTTTTCGAGCCTGTGCCACACCTGTTTAGACCCAACTAGTCAAACAGAAGCTGATTCGGCATGCGGTAGATGGGCATGCAGGATATATGACCCAGACAACTCAGCCCTCGCTTGACAGAGGGGCTCACTGATGATGGGAATGCATCCAGATCTTTGAAGGATCTGTGAGCTCACACAATCGTCTGGTTAAACCCAGGATAGATTGTAGGCAGGCTAGCCTGAATGTTTAAAACCGGCACAGATGTTCCATTCGAGGGCTCCACATTTCGCAACCTTAGAGAAGTGACAACTGTGGTGGAGAAAACCCAGAGCTTTGAAGTGATAGACCAAGTTCCTTCCACACAGCGTTACGCAGATAATGAAAATATACTGCCGCTCGAGTGATTCGTATTGAGGCATGGGCTCCCAAAACAGGAGCTAGTCATAATCACACTACCCAGGTATGGAGCATTTTATGAAATAAAATACCCAGGCAGGTGCTTTGTGTTTGTGGGGCTGATGGTAAGGCATCATCTATTCGTAGCGAGCACCTATGAAGGCCGGAAGAGTTCACAAGGTGTTGGATGGCCAGCACCATGGCAAACCGCCTTTGTCTCCGCAGTTGCGATGCTTACCACACCAGGTACTCATTTGAGGCTGAGTCGACCTTGGGGAGGCCCAAGATCGGTTCAGATAATCGTCACTGGTGTTAGCGGGAATCGAACTCGTGTTGCTGGGTTTATAGCGCTGCGGACTAACCATTGCACCCCATCGCTCCCCACTATTCATGTTTCTCTCAACAAACATAGATCCCCCGTATAGCCTTAACAGATTAATGGGAGAAGTGCTGTTAGTGAGAACCCATGAAGGCCGACACGCCACACGAGGGAGTGGGTGGCCAGCACTACGCCCGGCCGCCTTTGTCTCCCTAGTGGCGATGTTTACAGCCCACCAGGTACTCGTTTTAGGCTGAGTCGCCCTAGGGCAAGTCCTGGACCGGTTCAGATTATCGTCACTGGTGTTGTCCGTGAGCGGGAATCGGGACTTGGGTCGCCAGGTAGCGCAGCGCGTTAACCGCTACACTACCGCTCCCCATATTTGTTTCTCTCACAAACTCTCACACACGCTTTTTCTCTGTGTCTGTGTCACTCCCTCTCACGCAAACACACACTCTCTGTCCCTCTCTCATTCTCTCTCAATGATTCACTCCGTCTCACGCTCTGTCTCAACAACAGACACTCTCCATCACATTGCACACTCTCTGTCCCTCTCTTTTTCCCACACACGCATTCTGTCAATCGCACTCTCTGCTACATCACTTACTGTCTCTCTCTAAAACTAACTCTCTCTGCATCTCTCCCTGTCCATCTCTCGCACTTTCACACACTCTGTCTCTCTCTGTCACTCTGTCACTGTCTGTCTCTCCCCGTCCCTCTCTCACACACTCTGTATCTCTCCCTGTCCTTCTACACTACCGATCCTCACACACACAAAGCCTTAACATACATTTGGGGCAAGTGCTGTTTGCGAGCACCTATTAAAAGCCTGCACGTACAAAGGGGGGATGGGTGGCCAGCACACGCCCGACCGCCTTTGCCTCCCCAATGGCGATGTTTAGACACCGCACTAAGCACCAATTTAAGGCTGAGTTCACCAGAAATATCGCTACATATTACCTGGTGGTTCCACACAAATAAGAAACAACTAATCAAATAAGGGCCTACTGCAAGACAACTTAGCCTCTTATATTTGTAATGTATTTTCCACTTAAGTCCACAGAGTGATTGACGAACGCGTTCGTGTTTAGAGACCACCAGCCCTGGATATCCCCGTCAGGCTGCTCGTGGTCATGTGACAGACGCGCGCCTCCCACGTGACCCGTGGCGACTATTACGTCACGCGATGACGTAGGATGTGACGTACACTCAGGAGTCCACCGTCACCACAGAAGCCGTTGGTTCCGAAGAGGAGCTCAATCTGCTTCTACATCGCGTCTTGTAGGGATTTTTACATCTTTCTTATATATAAAAGTCTCCGTGCTTGTGGGGGATTTGGCTCTCCAACGGTGGGCTTTACGACGAAAAAAAATTGCCAAGCAGCACAGCCTAAGCCCCGCGGTAGCAATAGGCTATTCCGTTTTCTCATCCGTAAACTTTAAAGTAGTTTAATTAACAAATTTGGGTAATTTTTATTATTATTTACTTATTACGCCACATCGACCGTACCAACTGACAATTGCGTGGGGGGGGGGGTGGCGGACCCTGCCAAGTGATGCGCGTTCGGTCGAGCTCACGGAGGACATTTTATTTTACGCGTTTAACATGCAATACATATACACATAACGCTGCGTATTTTTCTTCACAGTCTCATGTCCTCTTCGCCCCCACCCCCCCAACACGATGCGTGCAGTTACTGCTATAAAGTCCTTAGATATGAATATTAAAGCGCTTACATACTATTATTATTATGGCTCGGGTGGGGGGATGGTGGGGGGAGTAGTGGCCCAGGCCGCAGCCTGCCAATGTCTCACCACCTCCGGCTTGTCAATCTAAGCGAGGCCGCGGGCTCTGCACGGGACTAACAACTCAGGTTTATTGTTTACTATTATTAAACAAAATAAGTTTACAAATATTACATTGTTGTGTGCACAGAACAACTCTGCTTCATTGTTTACTATTATCAAACTAATGTTGCCTAATATTACAGTCATGTTTGTGTGCAGAAAACTACATTTTCCATTCTTAGGTTGCTAAATATTTCTTTTTTTGGGTGCGTTTTTATGACGCTGCGACGGTGTACTGCCAGTCTGTGCTGTGGACTGCTGTCTGCTGATTCATTAACGTCAGTGCACTGGCACTATCTACACTGTTAATTTGCTTTTGCCCATTATGAGTGTATGCCAGTCTATAATCTGTTGCCTGCTTCTTTACGTTACTCAGTGTACTGCCAGCCTTTCATGTCGACTGTATCCTGCTTTTTCAGCTGCTGCCTGTATTGCAAGATTTTTATCTCCACTGTAGCAATGCTTATGTCATTGAGTCGGCGCACTGTCAGTCTATAATCTATACTGTAGCCTGCTTCTCAACTTACCTGTGCATACTGCTGCAATTTAATGTACACTTATTTCAGATTATTTCTACTATGCATTTCTATTGTTTCAATTGCTCACGTCCCGCAATTTACTGATACGTACTAATGCGATGCTGATAACTGTGCCATCATCGGGGATTGCTGTGCACGTCGATGTGTGTGTGAGTCGATTTGTGTGTTTGAGTCCATACGTGTGTGCGTATTAGTCGATGTGTGTGCATGGCTCCATGTCAGTGTGTAAGTCAATGTGCGTTTGTGTGTCTATGTTTGTCAGTCCATGTGTGTTGGTCCACGTGTATATAAGTCCATACATGTGTGCGTGTCACTCGATGTGTGTGTGTAAGTCAATGCGTGTGTGTGACTTGATATGTGTGTGTAACTCCATGCGTCTATCTAAAATATGTCTGTGTATGAGAGTCCATACAGTGAAGGAAAAAAGTATTTGATCCCCTGCTGATTTTGTACGTTTGCCCACTGACAAATAAATGATCAGTCTATAATTTTAATGGTAGATTCAATTGAACAGTGAGAGACAGAATAACAACAAAAAATCTAGAAAAACGCATGTCAAAAATGTTATAAATTGATTGGCATTTTAATGAGGGAAATAACTATTTGACCCCTCTGCAAAACATGACTTAGTGTTTGGTAGAAAAACTCTTGTTGGCAATCACAGAGGTCAGATGTTTCTTGTAGTTGGCCACCAGGTTTGCACACATCTCAGGAGGGATTTTGTCCACTCCTCTTTGCAGATCTTCTCCAAGTCATTAAGGTTTCGAGGCTGACGTTTGGCAACTCGAACCTTCAGCTCCCTCCACAGATTTTCTATGGGATTAAGGTATGGAGACTGGCTAGGCCACTCCAGAACCTTAATGTGCTTCTTCTTGAGCCACTCCTTTGTTGCCTTGGCAGTGTGTTTTGGGTAATTGTCATGCTGGAATACCAATCCACGACCCATTTTCAATGCCCTGGCTGAGGGAAGGAGGTTCTCACCCAAGATTTGACGGTACATGGCCCCGTCCATCGTCCCTTTGATGCGGTGAAGTTGTCCTGTCCCCTTAGCAGAAAAACACCCCCAAAGCATAATGTTTCCTCCTCCATGTTTTACGGTGGGGATGGTGTTCTTGGGGTCATAGGCAGCATTCCTCCTCCTCCAAACACGGCGAGTTGAGTTGATGCCAAAGAGCCCCATTTTGGTCTCATCTGACTACAACACTTTTACCCAGTTGTCCTCTGAATCATTCAGATGTTCATTGGCAAACTTCAGACGTGCATATATATGCGCTTTCTTGAGCAGGGGGACCCTGCGGGCGCTGCATGATTTCAGTCCTTCACGGCGTAGTGTTTTACCAATTGTTTTCTTGGTGACTATGGTCCCAGCTGCCTTGAGATCATTAACAAGATCTTCCCGTGTAGTTCTGGGATGATTTCTCACCGTTCTCATGATCATTGCGACTCCACGAGGTGAGATCTTGCATGGAGCCCCAGGCCGAGGGAGATTGATAGTTCTCGTGTTAAACTTTGATTTCAAGCTTTCGTGACTGCAGTAATTCATATTCTTAGCTCTTTCGGTAAAGTCACGTTGAAGGGAAACAATAAAACAATAAAATATATATAAAACCATCCAAATTCTCACGACGTTTCGACCATAATGCAAACGGTCATCATCAGGTGTGTGTATATAGTTCTTGTTTCTTCCATTTGCGAATAATTGCACCAACTGTTGTCACCTTCTCACCAAGCTTTCTTGGCAATGGTCTTGTAGCCCATTCCAGTCTTGTGTAGGTCTACAATCTTGTCCCTGACATCCTTGGAGAGCTCTTTGGTCTTGGCCATGGTGGAGAGTTTGCAATCTGATTGATTGATTGCTTCTGTGGACAGGTGTCTTTTATACAGGTAACAAGCTGAGATTAGGAGCACTCCCTTTAAGAGTGTGCTCCTAATCTCAGCTCGTTACCTGTATAAAAGACACCTGGGAGCCAGAAATCTTTCTGATTGAGAGGGGGTCAAATACTTATTTCCCTCACTAAAATGCAAATCAATTTCTAACATTTTTGACATGTGTTTTTCTGGATTTTTTTGTTGTTATTCTGTCTCTCACTGTTCAAATACACCTACCATTAAAATTATAGACTGATAATTTCTTTGTCAGTGGGCAAACGTACAAAATCAACAGGGGATCAAATACTTTTTTCCCTCACTGTATGTGTATGCGTGTGGACGGCAATGTGTGTCAGTCTATGTATGTGTGTGAGTCGGTTCCAGTTTAACAGCAGAGGTCTCACTCCGAATCAGTCGAGCGACAATATCTTTTCAACGGTTGCGTAACGCTGTGTGGAAGCTATTGGTCTGTCACTCCGCACTAAGCTTCAGGTCTTCTCAGCCACGGTCATTCCCTCCCTTCTCTACGCTTGCGCAACGTGAACCCCCCGAATGGAACATCTTCGCCGGTTAGAAACATTTAGGCTAGCCTGCCTACGATCCATCCTGGGTTTAACCAAGCTGGATTGTGTGAGGAGCTCACAAATCTTAGAAAAGTCTGGGCAAGGTCCCATCGGTGAGCTCCTCCGGCAGGCAAGGGTGCGTTGGCTAGGTCATGTAGCCCGCATGCCGAGCCACCACATGCCGAAACAGCTTTTGTTCGGCCGGATCGAGGGGGCTAAACGGGCGCGGCACGGAAGAGATGGAGTGATGTGGTACAGGAGGACGTGGAGCTGAGTGGACTTGCCGATGACTGGTACCAGCGGTGTCAAGATCGGCCTCTGTGGAGGAGGCTCATGAAGGATGCTACTGGGAGGTTGGAGGCAGTCGCCCTCCAACAACAATGGAGGGTGGAGGAGCGACGCTCACAACAACGAGCAGAGCGCCGGGTGGCTAAAGCACAGCAGGTTGGCACAGTAGGGGGCACAGGTGGTGCATCAGCCAGTCAACTCAGTCATCTTAGTCAGTCGACCCGTGGCACTTGGGTCTGCCCCGTGACCTGCCAGCGGGCGTTCGACACTTCACGTAGCCTCAAGGTGCGCATGGCCTGGCACAAGCGTCGTGGTGACGTCACCGCCACTTAGTGGCGAATGGCGGTTGTTGTGTGTAAGTCGATGTGTTTGTGTGTGTGAGTCCATATGTGTGTGTCAGTCCATGTGCGTGTGTGTTAGTCACTGTATGTGCATGGCTCCATGTTAATTAGTGTAAGTCCATTTCTTTGCGTGTCTGTTGTGCATCACTTGGCAGGGTCCGCCCCCCCCCCCCCCCCCCCCCGCAATTGTCGTCAGTTGGTACGGTCGATGTGGCGCAATAAGTAAATAATTTAAAAATTTGCCCCAAATTTGTTAATTAAACTACTTTTAAGTTTACGGATGAGAAAACAGAATATCCTATTTCTACCGCGGGGCTTAGGGCGTGCTGCCTGACAAAACATTTTTTTACGTAAAGCCCACCGTTGGAGAGTGAAATCCCCCTCAAGCGTGCACGCGAATACTTTTATATATAAGACTAGGTTGTTGGGGGGGCCGCCTGCAGCGGCCCTGAACAACAACAACCTGCGGCACCCCCCAACAACCACAGACTGCGGCGGCAACGGACAACCACAGCCTGCGGCACCCCTTGTTGTATATGCCGGGTATGAAAAATAAATCTAATTAGGAAAAATGCGTAATTATCTGAAATTATGTTAATTTACGTAATTATTCGCGTACATTATGCTAATTAGAGAGGTGTAATTGTATTAAGTTACGTAAATGTATGTGAATAGGCTAATGTACGCAGTTATGATAATTAGGCTCAACCTCGTTGTCGAGGGTAGTATTATCAATCGGGATCATACAATTAATTGTATGAAGTTATGCAGGTGTGATGTAAGTATGCTAGATTAAGCTTGGCTTCGTTGTTTAGGTTCGTATTATCAATCGGTATAGTACAATTATTCTCGCTTAACATTTACTGATTATGTCTTAGTGTTTTTATATCAGGTCCCCAAATTGAAATCTCACCACAGGATACAGTTCTTATGATTAAGATTATTATGCATGAACTTAGGAAGGCGAACTCTTATTCTTGGAATTGTCAACACAGTTCTCCTGGAGATGTTCCCCTCATTGATCCATACATTTAACCCTCAATAATCACGTTTGTTAACTGGGTAATAGAACAATTGATTATTCCTCAGAGTATGCGAGCATACACGGCGATAGGAACAAAAAGTCCTTAAAAATTAATGCAACGATATTCATACGAGGGGCAATAAAGAAACATGTCCCGAAGGAAAGAGTAGTTATCAATTGATTGATTGGCAAGATTATGCAATTAACAAAAACGAATGACTAAAATACTTCTACAATTGTATTCATGTAACTCGACGGGCAGCAATGTTCTTCACGATCAGTTGATATTTAACGCACCACCTTGGAATGGCAACCCTTCTTGAAACACAAAGATAACTTTTTGGAACAATCTTATTTGTCCCGATATGCGTGTTGTGTGTCTTCTTTGCCACTTGTTCAATT